CTGAAGCGGTATCAGCAGTCAGCTGACAGTAGCATAGACCACACAGATACTTTTGCTTCTGCAGCAATGTATCCACGTGCTCGAGTGTCATACCAAATTTTCTTTTTGCCTTAGCATCCTGACACTTGTAGCCAGCCATGCGCTAAGCTGGAAATTGGAATGCTTTAGCAGCTTTCTTATCCGGAAGAGTTCTCGTTGAGCCTTAATAGCCTTGATGAATGGGACTACGTCGAGATTGTTGTACCAGATTAATAGGTCCTTGATCGAATTCATCTCGTAGTACTCCCACACGAACTTTACTCGTTCGTATTCATTCTTGGTGATGCTTGTTCCTCGGAGTTTGCTATCAAAAGCTGACTTAGGTGGGATGGTAGTCTGGGTTAGTACATTGAACGCGGTGATGTACTCATAAGACAAAGTATCTTACCAAGACCACAGACACATCTAATTTTGTCATCACATTTGCAGCCACCGAGATATGTTGTAAGATACTTGTCGTAGCTGGTACATAATTAGTGATATCAAGCATTTCGTGTCCGATGTTGCAATGCGCATGTAGCAGGGGTTCTTGATGACAAATTTAATGTTGTCGGTACCAATTAGGGCACAAATCCTTCTCATCAAAGCTAATATCAAATCGACCAGAATTAAAGCCGGATACTGGGACCTGGTCAAGTTGCTGTTTCAGTTTCCCATAATCAGACCTTTGCTTACCAAAACCAAGACTGAGGTAAAAATCAAAGAAGCTGGCATACTTCCCCTCTTTAATTCAGCTCTCCACATCAGACATCTTGTACTTTTTATTAGAATTAGCGCCTGGGACTTCCACACCTGTCTGACCATGAGCATTGATGATTTTTTGTAGAAGCGACATATATTTATTGACATTGTACTGCTGAATCCTAATTGATACATCACCAATAATATTGAACATTTCCGTAAGTAGCATCTTTGGATCGTCATTTGCAAAGCAACGCGCCCCATCGGTTGAACTATCAGCTACTGATACCGACACAGGAATGTGTTCGTCTATGAAGACAGCATTCTCCCCGTGTTGAGTCGCGGTAGACTTAAGAATGGCTTCAAAGTCATGAACGATGAAGTGATCGATGTACTGATCAGTATTCTTGACTGAATACTTCGTGAGCAGTGATCATATTACGTTTTGAGCTGGTTTGTAGATAGTTTGCTCAGCTGGGAAGCTTTCGATTTTCACGAGCTCATACTGATTCTTATTGTGATTTCTTACTATTTCAGCGCTGACGAAAACCATTTCACACTTAGGACATTGATACTTAGCCTGAAGCATATCAATGTTCTTGATGTAAAGGGCATGATTGTCGAACGATAAAATATCCATAGCTTCCTACCCCTTGTCCGATCTACGAGTGCATTCTACATTCCCGGACGCTACATTCATGCTATATACGTTAATACCGAGTTAGAAGCAGTCCTCAACCTCATCGAGCTGTAGTAGGTCAAAAGGCTCGAAGCTTCTAAATAGACTCAATGTATCCTTCACCCCCTTGAATGAGCAGTAGCGCTTGAATGCCTCCTTCACCTGAGCCTGAATTCTGCGGGAGTCCTTCTTAGGGCTCTGGAATGTATGCCAGGCGATAAAGTGGACGACGCACTTGTTATTGGTCTTATGGAAGTTGATTACGTGGTTTTTTCGCGGATAATCTTCGGAATAACAGCGTCGCTATCTCCACGAGCATGGTCGCGATGGTAGACGAAAATCTTGGATGCAGTGGTCGCCTTGAGCTTATATCCAAAGCTGGGTTAGTTCAGCTTGTCAGTCGACTCCATAGACCGTATTTACGAAAGCACCTTCTTTTGAATATCAGCCTTGCTGTTGATAGCGACAGGCTTATTGAAACATAAGTGCTAACGAGATTCAAATAGAAATAGCGATGATCATCAGGATCGGTCTTGCTTACAAGGTCGTACCAAAGAGCAACATTTACCTTAAAAGCACTTGCCGGGCTTGAAAGAATGTTCTCGAGCTTATCGTAGAAATCAGTAGCCTCGATGCCCTCATATAGGTGTGACTCCATGTAATTACCATTGTAAAAACAATACTTAGGATCAGCCTTGAAGTCAGGCGACAAGTGCTTCCCAAGGGTTTCAGTCGAAACATTGTACTGTTTAGCTACCAACCTCTGGTTGGTTTGGCGCGAAACGTTGCTTACATAAACCATCTTATCCGTTCTACCACGCACCTTAACACGGTAGCTACTACCCCATTTGATAGCTTGGGGTAGTAGCTACCGTGTTAAGGTGCGTGGTAGAACGGATAAGATGGTTTATGTGCTCGTATGCAGACATGTTGCCAATATATGCTTGGCAATATTCTTCTTCGTAGATATGACTTTGTAATATTTTGATCTTGTATCAGGATCAACTTTATATCTTAGCCATTTACATAATATTCTGAGATTAATTAATTTCAATATTTGGCTTATGCCTTGTTGGAGGTTTTAAGCCATTCATTTGTAGTGCGTCACTCATTGACTATATTGGGTTTCACTTTTAATCAAAAGGATCCAACAAATATTCTCTGAACTGCCTTTTGCTGTTCTCTACGTAGAGACTTTGAACTGAAACGGCTTAATTTAATCAGAATCTCGTTCTCGAGCTTAGCTGCTTATGAATGCATCGACCGCATCGTTTATGAGCACGTCCAGCGCGGGATTGCGTACGCGTAGTTCCTTTTCTACACTATCCACCGAAAATCAGTCCACCTTCTTTCTCGATATGGCTGTCAGAGCAACTCTTGTCAATAATTTGCTCTCTGCTTATAAGATTATTCGTTTCCTTACGCTGTCGCAAGAGCTGAAATTGCCGCAATCAGCCCTATACCGAGCAAACCGCGAATTGATAAATCTGGATTGATTTGCTCCAAATTGATTCTTCTTGGGCCCGCTTATTGATTCAATGTATGCGTGTGAGCTTTGATCCCCTCCTGACAGATAGGTGAAAAACGAGTCACTTTTCTTGAGTATCAATGAAAAATTGTCTTCGTCCACGTTCATCAGGTACTCAAGCTATTGATATTGATAACTCCAGTTTAATGATGCTCAAACCGAGCGGTAACCTGTTCAGTGATGGAAATTTTGCAAAACCCAACGACAGTGCAATTTCTGGTGTCGATGCCATGCTGTTTTCAATCCGCTTAAACCAACAACTAATGGTATATTGCATGCCTTTCACTTCTTCTCGTCTGTGTATTCCTTTCGACCACTTGGAGAGCCCTTATCGGTCTTCCTTAAGCCTGTTAAGGGGTTTGCTGTACAAAACGATCGTTATGCTCAATAATTTAGCCAGAGCACTATTGGCAAGCAAACAACTAAACTGAATGCTGCTACACCTATCAGCCTGTGTCAATACTAGCTAAGAAGGCGATGATTTGACATATAAAACCGCCAAAATTGCTTCAGATATGTAAAATATTGTTTACCACTTCCTCATTAATTCGCTGTTTTTGTGGCAAATTTTGCAAACTGCTTCTTGCTATTTGTATGAGTACAAGAAATAAGCAATATATTGAATCGAATTCTAGCGACGAAGCTTCATAGAATGAGACTACAGTGGATCAAAATAATACAGTACAACTTTTTTTCCAAATCGGGACTATGTTGCGAAAATGTTGTAGGATATTGTGATGAATAGATATGGTAATATTATAAATATTCTTAGTATGAATCTCTTTTATTACAATAAAACAATAGAATCGATATTGATACCACTCAAAGACAATGTTTTTAATCCAGATTGACACTTCTGTAATTTTATACGAAGATTTTGTGCATTCCAGAATATTTCTATGATCACATAACATTTGACTGGCAGCGAGCAATTCAAGTCATTCTGACTACAAGCAAAAAAGTCGAATGGGCATGAACTCGACGAATGTCGAGGCTCCAGCGGGCGTCGTCAAGTACCGTCTAGTGGAGGCTGAGGAGGTGAGTGATAAGCCGCACGGTACATCTACCTCACGCGCTGTCAAACCCAAGCGCAAAGGAAAACTAAATTGGTCGCAATTTCCGATGGAGGGCGAGGACAATGTAGTGGCACCTGAAGGTCACAAAGTGCAAGAGAATACATTGGTGACTTCTCAATCAAATGATCGAACACGTGGATGGCAACAAAAGGGCCGTCGTGGATATCGTAGCAATGGGCGCTTCAGCGGACGGCGTCACTATGGAGGTAACAATGGAAGCTACGTCAATGGCGTGTATGTACCAACGCCCGATGTCCAAGTGACAGCTCAATGGGCTAAGAGTCAAATGTACGTAATTTACATATAGATTGTACTTAAATTGAGAAATTGTGGCTCATGAACACTTGTTTATCGACAGTGAATTTTATTTCACGTCGGACAATTTAGTCCGCGATATCTTTTTACGTCAGCACATGGATGTAGATGGATACGTTCCACTTGCATTTGTGGGTAGTTTTCAGGCAGTCTACTCTGTCCACCAGGACTACGAGTCTCTTCTTGAAGCTATGAAGCACTCTGACACAATCGAGCTGGACGAGAAAAATGAAAAAATTCGTCTTCGTACGGATTGGCAAAAGTGGGTGTGGCCAAATGCCAAGGGAGGATACGGTGTGCCGCGATATATCAAGCAAACGGAAAGTGATTCACCTGGTGATAAAAGGATGGCCTAGGTACGTTATGTAGTCGGGGTTGGAAGAGATAAAGAGGAACAGCTCAGCATTGCAACATCGAGCTATGGTTGAGGAAACGGCGTCGGTGTCAATGATAAAACGTGTGAAACACGCAAGACAAGGTCCAGTAATTTTTGATTATTTGCATGATATGGGCATCGGTAGCGAGGAGAACAGAAAGAGTAGACTAACAAACAATGATCGTATAGAGTACTAAACTGCACAGATACGTTATTAAGACATTTGTCTTTGTGGCTGAGATGTTTTGATTAACATGGTAGTTTAAAATTGGAATCATTTCGAACAGAACGTGCGTAGACGTTTTTTTACGATTGAAAAAAGGATGTGCTTGGACCAAATCGAAATGTAAAGTTCCCGTGCAAAATTATTGTGAATCCCGTTGTGTGATTTGCCTAATTTTGTGAGGAGTTGTGCGTGATCCTTGTAGCAAATTTAAGAAATTCAAAATGCTCTAACATTTTTGCTAGATTCTAGATATCAAATTATACAGAATTTAAAAATCTGCTAGTTATACCCAATCGTATAATTCCAGGTAATTAGTTAAGTCCACAGACATTAACACTCCAGCATGTCCAAGCTCAACCCGAACGCGGGCGAATGGGTTCCCACGTACGTCGCACTCCTATTGTTTCGATGACACTCCCACCCTGAAAAAAACGCTTGTCGCATGCAATAGTTTTTCAGCAACTGTAGCTTCTCCGAGCAATTCTTTGTCTCCAGTGAAAACACATGCCCCTACTAGCCAAGATCAGACACCAGTCCAAAACGAGACAGAGTTGCTGGCAAAGTCAGGCGTTAATATGTCAGTTTATCGAAAAACAACGCTGGAACGTACGATTGAATTCGGACGCGGAATTTCGTCGAATAATAACGAAGAGTCAATTTCTTACGTATGAGAGATGAAGATATTCCGATTGGAGCGTTTTTAAACTGACGGTGCTTTGTTTGCAGGAAGGATATTCACCACTGCACAATCGATATATTTACTCGAGAGATTATTTGCTCAAGGTAATTAATACAATGAAAGTTGGTAACACATTATTGAAGTGATGTGCTGTGATGTAGTTTCAGCCACTAGGAGATCGAGTGCTTAAATTCATTCCGGATGTCGTGAAAAATTTCACGCCGCCAAAAGTAAGAATTGCGTGGAAAGATGAATGATATGTAGTTATATTAAGTCTTTGTGTTCGCAGAAAGTTGGCAACAAAGTGAAAGGTACACTGGTTTACACAAAATCAGATCTTCTTCAGGTTCGTGCCGATTAGACCTCATTTGTGAGCTAATTGTTATGACTTACTGCTCTATTAAGTTCCAACCGCTGTACGAAATGATGCCCGAAAATTTTACGTGGGCGGACACAATTGGTGCTGATGCTGTCATGGGAGAGAATAAGGGTCGAAAAGGCAAAAAGGATAAGTTTCGTCAGAGAGCGGGTGTCATGCCCTCTTTAGTCTGTTATTTTAATCCGACAGAGTATGCAACGGCCATGAATATGGGACTCTATACGGGCCCTCCAGCTGATGAACAAGTCAACGGGTTGGACGGCAATAGCAAGTTATCAGTATCTGAACCAGTAAATCCGGTCGAAGAAGCGATTATTGCCAAGCGCCGTATTTCCACGTACGTTCTCTGATGAATTTTGATTATGGTCCAAATCTAGTTTATTGCAATACTGATTAATGCTTTGATACAGATTATTGGATGATGTGCAGTCAACGACTGTGTCACTTCTTCTGGAAGCATTTATGGGTATTACGATCAGTTGCATTCACACATTGCAAGAAATTGTAGGATTTCTGTTTGACCGTGCAATTGCTCATCCTGATTTAAGGTGAGAGCTGTAGCAAATGAACACAGATATATTTAATTACCTTTTTGTGTATTTCTAGCGATTCATATGCTAAATTATGCACTGGCATGTCAGAGCGAATGCCAGAGTTCAAAGATGGCGCAAAAACGATCAATTTTCGACGAATTCTTCTGACTAAATGCTACGAATCGCTTATTGAAGAACCTAGCAGTCCGTCTACAAATTTTTATAATGCACAAAAGATTGGAAGCGGTGGCGAGACGCAACACTCGTGGCGACGAAAATGCATGTTGCAAAATGTTGGGCTGATTGGCGAGTTATTTCGACGGCAACTGCTCACGGAGAACATCATGCATGTCTCTGTAGCCATGATGCTTGATGATGAAGCGAATCCACAAGCTGAGATCATAGAGGCAGCTTGTGGACTTTTAAATTTGGTGCGTTGTTGGAATAATTTATTTTTTTTGTAGCTGTTTAATTTGTTTGATGTAAATAAGGTTGGAGATTTGCTTGACGGATCTAGTCCAGCTTCACGAAGAACGATGGATGAATATTTTGCAGTTCTCACTCGAATTTACGAGAATTGTCAGCTTCCAGACAGCGTGAAGAAGATGATTAATGATGTATGTGATGCGCTAGCTGGTTCATTGGTTTATTTATCTCACATAACTTGTTATCTTCGTGAATTGTATATATTAGCTCAAGACTGTTCGAGCTAGTGGTTGGATAAAAAATCGCCAGGAACATACGTCTGTGTCGAGTCCACCAGTTGCTAAAGATTCAGAAAAGACCGAAAGCAACACATTGTCATGTAATGGACATTGATAGAATCTGACTATTCGGTAAGAATACTTGAGTTCGATATGCGAATCGGACAGCGTAACGTAACAAAATCGTACCCCTCATATTTAACAAATAAATAAATATGTGTTATAATTGACGTCTCTGAACGTTCAATAGTTGAAAGTATCCATCCGTGTTATCACCTGGGCGTCGAAATCTGAACTGTATTTGGCTTGTTGCAACGGCATCCCCTGATTGTGTGTATTTCTCCGTTTCTTCGCGCAGAATGAAGCCATTAGGATCATCACACCACGGTACAATTTCAAGAAATCGACACCACCGACGCAATAGTGGACGATCGCGCAGTAAAAAGGCATCGGTATTGCCCGCAACTAGCGTAATTCCGAGACCAGTTGCGATCTTCATATATTCTTGAGCTTCAAGTAACAAGGCCAAAGTATGGTATACAATGCCCATATGACTGGATGACAAAACATTAGTAAACCAACGCATAGACTTGTGCCATTTAATCGTCTAAAGTAAGTCACCTCGGATCCGTGAAGTAATTCTCAAAGCCATTAACCAGTAAGACCGACGTGTCGTTATCTACTACATGAAGAGAGCACAAAAAATGCTGCAGCTCTACACTACTACGAAGATACCTATCAAAGTATCATATGTTAGGATTTCCAGAGGGTAATTAGTAGTAGTGTACACAATATTACTTGATGTGGATGCAGCTCCAAATGCTGTTGTCTTCTCCGGTTTGCACTGGCAAATGACATTTCGAACACGCAGTGATAGGTACAATATCGGATGCCACTGGGTTTTGAGATGCTCCTGCCGATCCGCATATGATGAGCACGACGTTCTTGCCGGCTTTGGCCTGCGTAAAGCCGAACTGCAGAAGCAACGACGTCTGGCACGCATCCTGAGGTCCATGTAGATACAATATTCCTTTATCTGCAATTCTACCGTCTTTTTCTTGGCTATGATATGTGTTGTCTGCTGCACTGGAGCCCATGCAAGCTATCGCGCCATTTCCATGCGTGAAAAACTCTTCTAGATGCGGCATTTTTTCTTAACGCGCGTCAGAATGATGGTCAGATCAAATTTTCAAATATTTGGCTGAAAAGATAAGATTTACATTTCATTCATGTTGACATTCCGACGAAATTGACCTGAAGACTTGCGCAAAATATGATCACAATTGACACAGGTTGATGAGAATATTTTAAATTACGTGGCAGAAGCGACTGGAATACGCGTCTGGTTGAACTGACGCACATGCTTTGTACGCTTGGTGCTAGTATTTAAGGCAAATAAGCTAGTGATTAATTGGGTATGCAAGGTTCGAATGTCTCATTTGTGCAATCATCAAAGAAGATGACAACTGTCAGTGTAGTGACCAATGTATTCGGCGTTCTTGCAGGTGGTGTCACTTTGGAGGACAGTGCTTAAAAGTAAAGCGGAGACAATGGTGTGAGAGATGGTACATAGATGATAGATGATAAGATGCATATGATTATGCCTCTTCATGAGGCATTATTTGAAAGGATAATGGAGCGAAGTAATCAGCACAACATCCCTTCGTTATGCTTGCTGGCTGGTCTCTTAACGCTTATTCAGACAACAGAGCACAAATCAACCACAAATTTTCTGCAGAACAAGTTCTTCTCGTTAGTGTGTAAGCTTATGGAAGTCCGACTATGGAAGCATAGAGTGGCGTGCTTTAAAGCTGAATTAGTCAGGAGTCGTATGACGTAGACCAGTATGCAGTACTTGAAGAAATCTCTTCAGCTATGAATGGATTGACACCTTCATGTTGCACTTGTGAGACGATGAGCTGCTGATTTTGTCGGGTTTGCAGTTTAAGATCTGGATAGTTACTATCATTACAACGGTGTGTCGTGAATAAGGCCTAATTATGGCCATTTGAAAGCAGTATGCCATCTAAGTGGTGATACTAACTACTGAAGTGTCAGTTGATGCTCATCAAACTTCTTGGGAAAGTCTGAGCCATCTGCATTAATACCGATTGTTTGAAAGTCTACTCTTATATACTATTCAGCTGAGGGGTGAAAATACCTGGGCGCGGATGGATGGAAAACTTACCACAGCGACTGTGCTTGAGCCTGATATATAGTTAAGTGATACTAAATTGCGATCGAAGAGTGGACACTGGAGTTGTTTGTTTCGATAAGGTTGACGTGTGCCAACCAATAAATTGGTGTGCAACGGGGATCATGTGTCCTAGTATGAAGGGTGTGGGTCATACACGATGGTGTGATCACGCAATGCTCTGGGTTACTCAAGATAGTGTGACCACGCAATGGTGTGGCGATACCTACAAGAAGTCAGTGCGTGATTGGACTCTTGGAGTAAGTGGATCGCGATCCGGTACATAGAACGAAGGTCACCGACCTTTACCAAGCTTCTTCTAAACGAAAGAGCTACTGCAGCTCCACTGCATGGTGTGTCATGCGATGAGAAGTCATTCGTGGGTTACGACGTGTCATTTTTGAATAGTGGGATGGCACTTTGGACAGCCGTAGACACGCGATAAACTGGAAGTCTTAAAAGAAGCCGTGGATCTAAACTTGTGTAGACAGCATATAGACCTAGCATTGCGATCTTGATGATTTTGTTTACAAATCAACGTGTGGGGCCTAATTACGCCAGGTTGTGGCATAATATACTGGCCGTGTGTCCAAATTCGGTATTGAAAGTCGAGCTAATAGCCGTCTCTATCGCGTCGAAATGTAGAAAGGGTACGGCAAAAAAAATTCGGTAAAGCTGAGAATGTTTGCAGTGGGAAGTTGGAGTTTTGACAACGAAGGTGCTCGCTAGTTTTTCGTGTCAGGATCGGCCAACGAAAAGAAGTTACTTTAGTATTTCTTGACGCGTAGGTATCAGATATCACACTTCTGACAGTAGACTTGTACTGCATGGATTGCTATAAACATTTCATCGGGTGGGATCTTTTGAAATGCCCTAAGCTATACTAGCGTTAAAGTGGGTTGGAGAAATTTTGATTTATTGTACGATGCGGAGAACTTCCGATTAAGCCAGCCAGTTCGCGGTCGGGGAAAACGGGAGGTTGTGTCTTAATATTCTTCAACCCAACTTGGACCCGAGTTTGCTCGCGCTTGTTTTATATCTTGTTGGATGTACTAGATGTAGGACGATGTAACCGGAACGACGGGTTAGATACCCAGCTGTTGATCTCCACTGTCGACAGTATGACTTGTAATGTAGATTAGCTAAAAGTAGTTGAAGCCTCATCGGGTTCGTGTGAAGTAGTCCGTTGTTACCACCGTGCGGAATAATTGAAGATTTTGCAGTCAATGTCTCTAGTGCATTGTGCTACGACTTTCTATGTCGTTTGTAATTAAAATCCATATGCGCGCCTTTTGACGGTGCACATAATCTAGATGGCCGAACGTACAGTTTGAAATATGCAGAGGCGTGATGAAGTAAAATCGTCTGTGTCATAAAGTCTGATGTGATGATGGAGCGAAGTACACATCAGCGCACAATATCGAAGGTTGTTTAAAATGCATAAGTTCCATACTGTTGTACAGTTGATTGTTAAACACGAACAGAGATGGGATAGACAGTCATAGATCAATCGAGAGTCACAAAAGTGAGCTTGTTAAAAAAATTCAAAATAGACCTCTAAATGACTTGATGCCACTCTGCGAGTTTTAAAAGGATTTGAGCAATTTTAGCGTCCATCCATGTATACATGTACAGCTTGATATATTTTCTGTTCTCCACGAAAATTTGTACCAAAGTTTCAATGCGTTGTGTTGTAAACACTTCTTAAGATCCGAACGTACTATCTGTAAATTACTTTATATACGGCAATCAAACTACAATGTATTCACCGTCAGAGTAAAGGTGGTAATCTGAAGCTTTTTGGTTTGGTGCTTTGGCAGCGGCCTACCCAACTTGGTCTTCAAGGGTAGTTCCACAAAGTTGGTCATGAGGATGATCACGTTGTCTTTGAAACTCATCCGTAGTTAGCGCATTTGAATATAAATGGAATGGATTGGCTTTTATACAAGTCCATGTGGGGAAATCCAAGTTGAGCCGTTATACTAAGCATGTCGTTGGGCGAAATGGTCACATGAAGTAATCTTTGTCGTAACTTATATGCTGCGAAGCTCCCATTACACTCCACAAAGTTTTGTATGCGGCTGATCCCCACTGCGTTTAGAAAGTCAGTATTGATTTACTGACTTCAGCAAATGGTGGTAGCCTTCCCAAATATAGCGTAAATATTGTACTAAAACAACATGACTTGAACAATTTTTCCAGTGTGTGGCGCCATGGGAATGTACAGTCTCACCCATATGCGTATAGTAGTTTTTCAACATTAAAAAACAATTCCATTACCCATCCTTCATACCTGCGTATAGAATTTTTAAGCCAGTACCAAAGGAGCCTAATTTTCTTGTTGAGACTTGAATTGCCGGAGCAAACTAACAGAGAACTAACTGCATTCAATTCTCCGGTCGGGTAGTTTCATTTCTTAAATTTTTTGAGGTGACAATTTGAGTAGCGGCCTTGCCAGATATAGTCAGTTTTCCTCTACCATTTGAAACACATGTACAACCGAAAATTTTGCAAATTTACCCACAGCAGCGGAGTCACTATTCGTATCATTTTCGACATTTTGAATGCTGACGTTGACAGTTTTCAAATAAGTTGGTGTATCAGACGTCGCACTGGCTGCGCACCAAAGCAACTGTAAGGTAATAATTTGTGAGAGAACCACTTTTCTCGCATGGTCTGTTCACGATACTTTCTTATGGTGCAACTTGTTCGTAGTTCAGTAACCACGTTGCTTGAGTGTCGTGGTCGCGCCTTGAAGTGCTCCTGATTGCACCGAATATTCCGCCGGCGGAAATTTTTTGACATTTGTTAAACTGACTTGGTAAAAACGGCATCATGCACGTTTAGTTCATATTTCATCGTAACCCTGATGCTAACCTGTATTTCTGAAGAAATTTCACGAGTTTAGTCGCGGAGTCCGCAACACCCAGTAGACCGTATATACACAAGAAGCAAGGATGGCAATGACCCATTGTCAATTCCGCGAACCAAACATCGAGCATGTGAGTGGTCATAAAAAGCACTAACAGAAATAGTGGGTCGCCTTATCACACCCCAACCGCGATTAAAAATGAGTCTTGGGGTGTTCAACAGCAGTCTCTGAGAAGTCTGGCGATAAACTTGCTTTATATAGAGCTGAAGAATTGGGCTGCATCCAAAATGTTAAAGTACCATATCCAACTCTGGTCATAGCATGTTGTTAAAAGCTTTCGCAAAAGTGATGAGGCGCATGCGTCGGGGTGAGCGTCTTTGCATAGTACTTGTAAAGTTGGGATCGATTGCAATAGTGAAATTAATCTGCTGAGTACAAATCCACTTATCGGCGACAATACAGTCTCCAGCCAACGCGCAAGAATTTTGGAATACAGTTTATCGTCATGGTTTTGCAGAGTCAGCGCACGGTAGTTTTCAGGCTGCACTCTATCATCAATCATAAAAAGCAGCGAAATGTGCGCCCTTCGTTAGATCTAGTCATCGTTTCATGGGTAAACTGATTGTTGTATAAACTCGTAGGTGCGAGCCCAAATACCTGGCGCAGTCGATTGGTTCCTCGTCGGGGCACGGTGCAATCAATTGGTGCATTAAAAGATCGCTAAATATGGATAATTGCCGTGATGGGTGCATCAAGGAGACGTTATTGAACATGTTTTAGCCTTCCCCATATCTAATGCAGCATTCAAACTAAGCGAACGAGTCGACACGAGGCATTCCATCAGTGTTGAAGATCTGAGGGTGTTAATAATCACCCCCAAAATCTACGGTGCCCCGCCTCAATTTCGACTGAGGCAGCAGTCGTCGACCCATCCCACGTGGAATTTTAGTGATGCAATTTTCAAAAAGTGTGTTGTTGCCTGTTCACTACGATGTAAGTCGGATGTATATTTGCTCTTTGCGCTTCATTCTTAACTCGTCTTTCCATTTGCGCTGATGTCGGAAAATGTGATGCTGCTATGTTGCAGCCAATTGATGGCATCGTCGACCGCGGCTACTCTTGTAGGCATTACACACACCTTGTAGTCAAAATTTAATCTACCGTCTTTGGAGATTAATGCAATCGACCCAATTGTGCATCCTGGGTTGCGCCGTCAAATTGTGCCACGAATCGATCAGCTGGCGTCTCTGGCTTGCAGTGAGTCATTTCTGTTGAACTTTGTCTCATGGAACGCGAACAGCTGCAAACCCAAGAGAAGTTGCGGGTAAGAATCGAGCTTGGCTGGGCGTTGCCCATTCGCGTTCAGCGATTCTCCATACAGGTCCAAGTATCTCTGGATGTGAGCTTTTGGCAATCTAAAGAGCATTTCGCCTGATTTTAGGCATCAAAATCGAGGATAAATCGTTTGGATAAACCAATCAAATATGGTGGCGTGCAACTATCGCTGATAAAAAATTATTTCCCGCACCTATTCAAGCTAACTTGAGACGGTTAAGGTTGCTCTAGAAAAAAATGAAGAATGGAAAACTGCCTATAGGGTTGCATTGGTTCGATTAGTTTTTAATATAAATGGCGCAAATACATCAGTAACATGGATTACTGCTAAGATGCGTCTGTTTGCTGTTGAAACATCTTGCTCATTTAACTTCGTCAGTGGCATGATAAAAATCTTTTATTAGAGATAAATCCACTTTCAGAGGAAGTGTGCGTACAATTATCAGTGTACGCCTTTTCTCCTCTTACGGCAGAAGGTCAAAAGGGCATTTATTCAGATATTGAAGTGATCATCTCACCGTCACCCCGTCTTTTTCACCGGAATCGAGATCAACATGCGGTTATAGCGATAAATCAAGACCTTCATCCTATAAGATATCATTACAGTGGCAAGGGATACACGAGCAGGGCTCTGAAGTTTTTACACAGAGAGAGCAAAGCCTGCTGGATCGATGTACTTGCCGTCGTCCCGATTAATGTATTAGTAAGGTGAAGTTCCTTTCCGCCGCACCTTCTAGTACGGCATAAACAATCATATGCTTAATTTTTGCTTCTGTCCTTGCAGAGACACGACTGTTGCGTACCAATTGTAGTTAAAGTCTGAACTCCCGGTCCGCTGGGTCTAGAATTACAGCTCGATCTCCGGTGGCAGCGCCTCTTCCATTCAAACTGGTATCAGAAGTCTCGGACTGTCGGCGAGGGTGAGGCTGTAGATATGGTTGCTTTGCCAGATAAAGCTTGCATAGCCCGTGTTGACCAATGCACGACGTTTCTTCTGAGTAAATAAATATCCACCGAAGTAGCTCGCCGCTCGGTCCAAATAGCCCGGCTTGACAGTCAACATCGTAAAGTATACAGTGCGTCCTGTGGGTTTCACGTAGTCATTAATGTACGCTAGAGTAATCATAATAGGTCTGAAACCTCTTTGAGCAAATTCATACGCTTGAAAGCCGCGAAGGTAGACAAGACACTCTCGCCAAGCCACAGGTTGGGTAATATAAGCAAGGGAGTTTGGAATTGCATCTTGCCTATACTCGGTGGTGAGACGAGCAGCCGAAATCCTCATGACCGAATAGTTCTTTTCGGCCTTTGGCGTTGGGACCGCAGGAAGCTCAGCAAATCGGCGGTCAAGGCTTGTCTTAAATTGAGAGTTCTCAGGCAACGCAGCTTGTCTAGCATTTGAATAGTGATGTTCCGTCTGCCGCGGTTGGCATTGCCGCACATCTGGCTGTTATCGGACGTGTCGGCGTTGCCAAGCTTGTGATGGACGTGACAGTGGTCGTGGTGGGGACGCAATGGATGCTGTTGCCGTTGTCAAGATAATGGTGTGATACTTGACATCGATGTCAAGGGTAGATGCAGCTAGGCTGATCAGAAAGCACACAATATAATGCTGCTTTGGTTGATATGAAAGAACTAGTCCGACGAACACCTAAACAGAAGCCTAGCTCAGGTTAGACCGCGTAAGCGACTGCATTTGAAGTGCACATGCGAAGTCTGAGTGATTCTGAACTCCAAGTCATGAGATTTTCAGTCGTGAGCTACGCAAACACATGGTACACCTAAATACACAACGTGCTGCAGTTGCAGTCATAGCTACACGAGTACACTTGTAAGCCCCTTGGTGGTGCTAACTTTCTTTCATTTGAATGCGTTGTGAACAAAAAAAATATAAGCAAATGCAAAAGTCTTTAGAAGATGCGGTAGTCTGCGGTAGGGCAACACGGGGTGGAAGACACAAGGCGGTGGTAGCAAGAAACGCAAAATTTAAGCTGTCATGAGGTGAGATCGCGAGTCAATCCGTAAGTTTGCGCGACGAACGGGTCCGAGGCGGCCCAGATGCGCAAGACGGCGGACAAACTGCGTTGTACGTAGCCAGTGGGTGTCTTTTTCTTGCATACATGCATAGGAGTAGAAGTATGCGATGGCACGGCTAAGAGCGAGTCACTTTTATTTATCTATGTCGATTATAGCGATCATAACCTTGTCATATGAGAAGTTGCGTCCAGTCACTCGGCTAGTGGCTGACCAATGCGGCCGCCATCGTCACTTATCATTGCCATCGGCTAATTAACATCTATGCGTTGAACAAAGCTTCCGGTTGATAGTTGCCCATTATCTCATTCTCGATGTTTATGGTCATAACTGTCGATCAATCGACTGTCTGTTCGTCCAAGGATTCGTATCATATGTTATTTCCTGAAGTCATGATTAGGTTCTATCACTCATGAGATGAATCTTACGTGTAATTAAGCTCAAATTTGTATTGAACTCCTTCAAAAATCATCCGGAATAGCGACTCATCACCTTGAATCGTTAAGATTTTACTGTGCCCATAAGCTTTAGAATTACATATAGCGATATATTAAATGTGTAGTGCCTCCTTCCAGCAGAAACATACGACAGCCAAAGTTTACAAACTGGTGAGTTAGGTGAACTGTCGCAAATATGTGGTAGAATATGCTCGATCGATTGGCAACGTTCAGTAGTGCTAATCCTCGAATCAAATATAATCGCTATCAGCCACTTTCTATCCTTAGATGCGCATATGTATGAAATAGTCACATAGATTGTGGAGGTAGAATGGATGCTGAATGTTATATTCCTTTACTAATAGTATGTAGAGGAATATCGGAAAGCAGATACCAAGCACTACCATATGAAATTAATTTATGGGTCCCGTTTATTTACTTGTGTCCATTTTGCTGTCTCCTTTCGCGACACGTCCATATTTCGAATACAGTGAGGAAAGGTAAGAAAGAAGGTTTTGTGTGGCAATTAATCGGAAAAGTTCTTTTGGTGTGTAATGAAGCGATTTCTTTCGCTCTGAAACGGTGAAACTAGCATGTACTCAGTCCGTGTGGGTTTGTACTATATGAGTACACATCGTACTACCATATCCGTAGCTATTGACATCATCTCAATCTCGAATGAACGTAATGCTTGTTTATCTTAAGCATGTTCATCTACTGTACACTAAGCTTTCTATTTCTTAACAATGCCATTTGAATGGACTATCGTCAGCAATCCAAGACGCGGTCCCGATCTGAAAGTCTTTGGCGTAAAACGCTAGATGCTGAATTTCGAAAGAATTCAGCACTTGGACATATCGTGGGGACGAAGTAGGTCAAAGCCATTGAATTGTTAACGGCTCTATAGACTATCTTGTTCTTCGCGTCACCGAAAATCGGATGGTGCAAAGGTTATTGCACTGCCTCTATATAACAGTAAAGGCAGCAAGAGAATACTCATTTCTTGTCAACAACCTTATTATGCAGCTCTAGTTGTCGAGTATCCAAGTTAGTGATTACATGTCCCTCGAGCACTTAGACAATAACCTTCAAAATCCCTGAAGAGGCAAAGCTCGTGGCACCAATCTGCACGACTTTGTTGTCTTCTCGTACTCTATGTGCACTTTTTACAAAACCGCAAGTGTTCTACAGAAAGAACACATCTTTAATTGTGCTGAAATGATCACATCAAATAACGGTTAATCTCTTTGATTTATTATGGATGATGCAATGTCCAGCAGCTGTCATTTGAATGTTTATAGACATAATGTCTTCCAGCTCTCCCGCCTCTTTGTACGTACAAAAGGCGTTTCACGAAGGACTACACTGCTTTTGGAGTACAGAAGACGCACACAATCGAATTTCCCGCTCGTTGCGATCGTTAATCTTATTTTATAAAGGGCTCACGACGTCGAAATGAGTGCAGGAATTACCATCGGCATTCTTGCTGGTGTGGTCGTCATAGGTGTCATAGCCTTTATTGCTTATCGAAACATGAACGAAGAGAATTTGAACGATGAAAAACAATTCATGCAAGATTATCCTGCGTCCAAGGTTACGACTTCCGAGCCAACTCGAATGTCTGAAACAAACATGCAGACACCTACTCAGCACAATTACACTACACTAGATAGACCTTCTACTAAGGCCACGCCTGATCCATTAGCAATGTCAATTGCCATGCTGACTATACCCGATAACGTACCACCTCCGTCAGTCGAACCAAAACGTTATAATTTCGACCCAGCACAATCTACAGTTAATGGTGCTGCGCCGTCTACGTCTCCTTTTAATAAGAAGAACTCAGTACGAGCTTCACGTCCAAGCATCAGTAACTATGATGCCCATTCGATGGAGTTTAATGCTGCACCTGGAAGTTTTAACGAATCCTATACAGAATCGTATGCCGGCTCATTTACCGGATCAATGGCCGGATCGTATGCACATTCGTTCTCGGGTACATACAATGGTCAGGGCGTGCTTAATTCTTTCGATAGCAATGTCGATGATTTCGGGCGAGATACAGTTGGTACAACAGTATCGGAAGCTTTGGATCGTCAGAGCCAAGTGCCAGCAGGAGAAGAACAATCGCATTGGATGGACGACATGCGTGGTACAAACGACAGCTACGCGATGCTTGAATCTGGTTCGTTTGATCGGACGTCAGCACTTTCTCGCTTTTCCACGGACTCGGACCTTGCTGGCCGTCCTACGAATTGATTGAAAGGAAGAAACGTATCTATAATATCTGGTTAGGCCAATGTTGAAATTGTGAGCTATAGTTTTGTTACCAGCCGTTATTTGTTCTCTTACGACTATTGTTTCGATCCTTTTAACGTCGAGTTGGACCGCCACGTTTTGGAAGTGGGAACCGAAGAGGTACCGAAAGAACAGCACGTTGGATTTGCTTCTTTGACGACGATCCAGTACTGCCATAGACCGTTGAATCAACTTTAACTTTCTCAACCATGCAGCCAAGTTGTCGGGCATATGCTTGGATCTGAACGGCGGATTTTTTTAAATCATTACCAACTTCAGTAAGATCCAAAGTAAAACCATTTACAGTAAGCGCCACCACTAATAAGTGTAGACTAAGCTTGTCTTTCATGGCCTTGGACTGCAGGTACGTCGGGTACCCATTGTTACCCTCGTTCACTTCGGTAAATAGCTTGAGAAAATGGCGTACAATGACAAGTGGAATCTCTTTCTCCTCACTAAAATTCGCAGCTGACTTGCGAAGTGGGAACCGAGAACTGGCAAAATCAATTAGATACGCCAAGTAGACGATGAGACAGACTTTGTTGATATCGTATGGCACAGGTAAAGACTGTAGTAATCGCGTAGGAAGTGTTGCCATATTGAGCTGCGCGGCGTATTCAGCAACACTTGTAGTCTGAAGCGCTTCAAGAACCTCCTCAGACATAGTCGTCAGTGAGTCCATCACATCACTATCCATAACTACACAATCACGATTATAAAGTTATCTAACCTTCAGTATTGAAAATGCACGTACACTTTGTCAGATCGTACACACGATCTGGCGTCGGAGCGTCAACATCACATGGTGGAAGGAGAACGTTGCGCGTGACAGCAAGAGCTGCTTCTTCTTTGCTGTAAGTTCCATCCAAAGCACGTTCTTCATCAAGCTTAAGTTTTGCAGCAACAATCTTTTTCTGCAATGTTTGAGATACCGATGTTGCTCCACTAACGTTGTCAAGGTTCACAAGGTTCTCTTCACGATTCTTTTGTAGACGTTTGCTTTTTTTGCTACCAAAGACTTCAACTAGTTCACGACGTTGATCCATGAGACTCAAATTCTCTTTACGATCATCGTCAATGTTTTCAGATGTGTTTTTAATGGCTTGCTGCATGACATATATCTGATGTACATTGCTCAGTCGTACAGTTTTGGTCTTTCGGTCGTATACACCAACCGCATAATTAGCAAAGTCATGGGTAGAACCGAGATAGCCAAAGTTGGCACCTTGATACGCTACTTTCTCACTACTTGCGATCACCAGACGCTGTTTCTTTGCGGAATTTTCAAACACTTCAAACGCCAAGTCCTTTCGTACATTAGGAGGTGGAGGACCATTACGAAATGTCGCTGTCATCAAGATATGATATTAATTAAACTCATGTCATAACGTAGCAGCGAAACACTTTACCGACTATGGGAGCTGTAATATCGAAAGACTCCTGATGCTGGAGATGAATTTTTACGCGCTTGCTCATTTCAATATAGAAAATAGCTGGTGTCTACGCAGTAATGTTTCAATTGGCTTAATATTGATATTTGTCTTTATTTCTACTTTTGCATTGGCTAAAACACTGATCATTAGATAATTCCTATGAGTACAGACACCAAGCCGGATGGCGACATGACGTCGTGCCTTAATCTCATGCGCCGCATGCCACCGCGTGAAGTCGAAACAAATACTTACCATCTTACTCGCATTGTTCCTTCACTTGCAGATGATTTGTACCAACGTGTGGATCAACCGCTCCAAGTTGGTGTTGATCCAGCGAACGGTCGAAAATATTTGCTTTGCGACTATAATCGTGATGGAGAGTCGTATCGCTCGCCATGGACAAATCAGTACCATCCTCCACTTTCTGATACTGAAAGTTTTTATCCATCTAAGACACTGCGAGGTCTCGAAATTCAAGCAAACGAGATCTTTGACTCCTATCGTGAATTGTACTACCAAGGTGGCATTTCGTCTGTGTATATGTGGGATTTAGAGCCAGGTTTTGCTGCATGTTTCCTTATAAAGAAAGATGTTGAAGATCAGCGATTTGTACAGAAAGGAGAGTGGAATTCAATCCATGTGATCGAAGTTCAGGAGTGCAGCGACGTGTTGGATAAAGGCGTGAAAAAAGCGACGTATCGCTTGACAACGTCTGTGCTGCTGTTCATGAAAGTCAAGAACTTAGAATTGGGTCATTTGACGCTTGATGGAGCACTAACACGGCAGGCAGAGCGAGTAGTGGAATTTCAAGATCAATTTGCGCATGTGTCGAATATGGGGCGGATGGTGGAGGATATGGAGATTGATATGCGCTCGAGTCTAGATGGACTATATATTTCGAAGACTCGGGAAGTGATCAATGGCATGCGTAAATTACAGCAAGGACCGGCAATGGCAAACCCATTTGTCAATGAATTGACTGGCGCAGTACTAAACCACGGACAGAAGAAACAGCAAGAGTAAAGTTGATGACATAGTGGCTTTCGCTATATTTGTACGTTTGAGATACTTCAAAAATGATGGTATGAATTTTTCCAGATTTTTAAAATACTATTTGCACTCGCTAGCACTTAAATTTAGTATAATACCCGAGTTTGTATCCCTAAATAAGGGATCCACATACTATTGAAAACGAGATGCTTATCATATCATGTCGGGGATGTAAAAACGAGGTAAATTTCAATCTTGCAGTACTGCACGAAAATATTCGTGTATTTGTATCGACACATCGCATATCATCGTCATCTCATGTTAATAAAAAAGAATCCTTATAAAAAACAATAAAGTCATTGATGTTCTCTTGATGTCTATAGTTTCTCTCCTTCCTGTTAAAATTTGTCACGTTCCATCGACCTTCACAGCTGCAACGTGTCAAATTAACCATTTATCAAGACAAACGAACTACAACCTCAATTTTGAATCCATTCTATGTGACATCAGAATTTCACGTGATGTGCTTGCAGCATCTTTCCTTCTTTCTCAGCCATTTTGCAATTTACTCTATCCTTTCATTTCAATCCAAAGTAGAATGTTTCATATTGTAGTGATGCTAGCTTTGATTGCAGTGATCTCTGTCACATTAACGCAAGCTACAAACAACTATCCAATCATTTTGGTCAGTGGATTCACTGGTTGGAGTCGTGACGAGCTACTAGGCTTTAAATATTGGGGAGGCATTCAAGGAGACTTTCAAGAAGACCTTAAAGCTAAAGGGTTTACTGTATACACTTCGGCAATCGGCCCATTTGCCAGCAACTGGGACCGTGCCTGTGAGCTCTACGCAAACATTAAAGGCGGTCAAGTCGACTATGGCCAAAACCATTCGTCTACGCACAACCACCTTCGCTATGGGCGTAACTACACGGGACTCTATCCGCAGTGGGGTACAATCGGCGCAGACGGTTCCATTCGTAAAGTACACCTAATAGGACACAGTTTAGGTGGTCAGACAATCCGAATGCTTGCTCAAATGCTAGAGCACGGCACGGCAGGCGCTCCTATTCCGGAAGATCCATCGTCACATCCATTGTTTGCAGGAGGTAAAAGCTGGGTCCATTCTATCACGACCATTTCTTCACCCAATCAAGGAACCACTTTGGGCGATGGCATCTCCGAAATTGGAAATACTGTCAAAAATCTTCTTGCTGGTATCTTGAATATCGTGGGTATTCTCGGAGACAGTGCAAAGATGGTGTACGACGCCAAGCTGGATCAATGGGGAATAACCACAAAAAGGATTGGCGAATCTATTCCAGCATACCTTGACCGTGTCTTTTCAAGCCCAATCTTCGATCCTGGATTTAAAGATATTTGTCTCTGGAGTGTATCTACGGGTGGTGCCAAGGAGGATGCGACGTGGGTTACCACACTCAGTTCTGTGTACTACTATAGTTATAGCAACGTCGACACATTCGACACGCGTGACTTACACTTCCGCAAGGTTTCGCGGCCGAACCCTTTGACAATGTTGCTTCCGTTAAATCCGCTAGGTACATTTATAGGCGGGCGATATACGACCGACAGACTCGGACTCGCAACAACCTGGCAGCCTAATGACGGAGTCTGTAACACGATATCGATGGGCTCCGACGGTGTAGGACCCGCTGTCACCTTTACAGGTTCATCGGAACTCGGCAAATGGAACAAATTGCGGCTACTTAATCGACTGGACCACATTGCAATCGTTGGGATTACCCTCCATACGCAAGTACTAAATTTATATTCAAGTCATGCAGCTGTATTGTATGCTTTGCCTACAATCTCAAAGTCTCGCCGATTGGCAGACGCTTCAAATGCTGCAGTAAACCTTCAAAACGCCATTTCGGATCTCTCTGTTGCAACCTCGAGCTTACAAACGATTGATGATCTCAAAAACTTATGTCAAGATCCAAAGAACTTGTACGCACAGAGCTACTGCAATAAGACGCTCGAAGTTGCCTCTACACGATAACGAGTGTAGCTTTAACTGGACATCGTCATCAATTTGAGATATTTTAGATCAAATAGAATTAAAATTTGTTTTACTTTTATACTCCCGTCACAGAATACTTACTTGTGGAAGCTTAAAAGGAGACGATGCAAAATCCTTCGCTTCAGCGCACATTTCGGGGTCATAAGCTGGCGGTCACTGATGTGAGCTTCCATCCAAATGTACAGCAAGTAGCTTCAAGTTCATTAGACAGTCTCGTACTAGTATGGAATTTTCGACCACAATTGCGGACATTTCGTTACAAGGGTCATACGGGACCTGTTCATGCTGTCTGTTTTTCACCGACAGGAGACGTTTTAGCTTCAGCTAGTCAAGACCGTACTGTACGCCTCTGGACGCCTACTATAAAAGGTGATTCAATCACGATCAAGGCTCATGCTAGCGCTGTGCGAAGTGTGAGCTTTTCGAGCTCAGGACGCGAGTTATTGACAGCGTCTGATGATATGTCGCTTAAGGTCTGGACACTACCTACTCGACGTTTTCGATGTAGTCTCACTGGCCATAGTAATTGGGTTCGTAGTGCTCAATTTAGTTATGATGCTCGACGAATTGCATCAGGAAGTGATGATAAAACAGTTCGAGTTTGGGATACTGAAACCAAAAGGTGTCTTACAACGTTTTACGAACACGCTGGCATTGTCAATCGTGTAGCTTTTCATCCCAATGATAATGGGTTTACTCTAGCATCATGTAGTTACGATAAGAGTGTCAATTTGTATGATACAAGGGCAGGACGACTCGTGCAACATTACAAAGCACACGAGGCCAATGTCACATGTGTCGCATTCCACCCAACGGGTAATTACTTGGTCTCGACATCGCATGATCACTCGGTAAAATTATGGGATTTAAGAGAAGGTCAAGTCTTGTATACGTTGCAAGGACATGATGGAGCTGTAAATTGTGCAGAGTTCTCACAAAATGCTAAATTGCTAGCATCAGGAGCAGGTGACTCGTGTGTACTGGTTTGGGAGGCCGATCTGGATAAATATTTACACTTTCCAGGCTCAAGAGCCCAAGCCAATCCTGTGAATGAAAAGCACATAATTGGAACTAAGAAAGTTGGTAGTTGTGATAGTGAGGCAATACCAGCACAGTCACCACCACCGACACCGACATCGGTGCCAGTGCCAACCCCACAACTGAAACCACAATATCCGTACGCAGCATCCAAGTATGAAGTGCAGCCGATACGCTCAGAGAGTCGGTCAACAGTGGAGTTGTCGCCTCCTTCAATGTCTGTTGGGACTTTACAATCACCGAGTGAAGTCAAATCGTCGACGAGCTCGAACGGTTTGGACTCGAATCGACAGGATTCCATGAGTAGCACGTTAGATCATATTGTTGGGCAATTGGAGAACATCACACGAACATTGTCAGTGTTGGAGCAGCGGATCATTGTCAATGAGGAGCGAATCAAAGAGATTGCTACAGTACAGAGTCAAATGCTAGAGCAACAGAAATCGAGATCGAGTCTTGAATAAATAGGTAGAGACAAAGTTTTTTGAATCTGACTAAATTTTGATTAGGCCAAAAATATGTATCTGACAAATTTCTAATTACCTAAAAAAATGACGTTATCATATATTTATTCTCTTAGAATACTAAGTGTAAGATAAAATAAAAATTTCCGAGTGTATACTACTTTAAGTATAGTTCTATATACATGTATACATATTTCAATAGTGTATGAATACATCGCAGGCGCATGACCCATGCAAAGCTAGAAAATGACGTCCAACATGAATAAAAATGCCAGACAACCATAAAAATTACACTATATCACAGCTTTTGCTGTAATGGCCTACATTTTTGCAAACACCGCATCTACGAACCTGTTTCTTGGTGGGGGGCTGTCATCCAATTGTTCGTGGATTCAAATTCCACCGGTGAAAGTTGATGAGGCTTGAATGTGGATTGGGTTCCACAGCTTATTTGTTCTGTTTATCTGATGGATTTTTTTATTTTCCCCTATTTATGATATCAGAATCAAATGGTCCAAATACTCAACATGTATCCTTCAAAACAGAGCTAACTTACTTAAAAGGCCTCAATTCGCTTCTTGGAGGGGCAAATGAACCCACTCCTTGCGCGTAAGTGCATTAGAAACGCTCAGTAAGCACATGTCTAGCGTTTGTTCTTACGGATTGAAAAATGATGACCCCGGGGACGGAAGATTAGTTGTGTATAAAAATGCACTGATGAGACTACTTCAAAAACAACTTGGTCATGAGTCTGTAAGAAGACAATCAGTTATCGCAGTGAGGTCGCTACCGTTTTTGATGATGTGTTGGGTGGTATGCATTTAATGCGGAGTGTAGCTTTTGTGCCGCAAGATCCGTTTGCAGTACGAGATAAGAATTACTACAAGCGCGCCAGAGGCGATGGACCTCGGTCGTGCCGAGAAGGAGGTGAAGCTGTCGAGTAGCCCTGTGGTATGAACCTTGCGCGTCCTGGTCGCGCAGTATGTTGGGTCGAGCTTCCGCGCAGGGTCTGTTGACGAGGCGCTAGTGAAGAAGCGTCGAGCTCAGTATTAGATTCTACAGGGGAATGGCCCGCAAGAGCTGGGTTCTATCGTTGCTCATGGACGTCGAGGTCAATGAAATCCGGCTCTTGAGCATTCTGCGAAATATTTGGCTAAAATCTCAGGGCTGTTGGCTGTCAGCAATAACGTTCTGGGTTCTGCGAAGTTATCCTGAAAGATTCAAGAGTGTTGTGCATTTAAGTACGACACGCAACTATTGAGAACAGTAGATAGTGAGCGGGCCACTGTATATGCCATATACGATATTCGTGCGTTTTGCGACGATGACCTCCGCGCAATGTTGATATCATTCAAAATAAGTGCTATTATAGCGTGATTTTTTTATTTATTACTGAAATATGGAGACCATAACAGCGTTAAAAAGTAACTTGTTCCAATTTGCATTGAAGATACGATTTCATCCTAGGTATGGCGCGATTTGAAAGTCATGCGCCACTGATATAGTAGATGTCGAAAACAACGCACTTATCTCTAGTGGAGCTTTGACCTTATCTCTATTAGGATGCAGAATTAGTTTATAGCGCGAGCGTGGAGCTGCTTTAGTTTTGGTGCAGAACACAAGGTTGCGCAAAACAATTGTCAGATATCTTGATATGCTGTTGGGTGCCCAGAGCAAAGCTAAAAAGGTAGAAGTGGTAGTAAGGCTCGGTCTTAAGATGAGACAGTAACCATTATTGCCGTCTCCAGTGTTGTTTCTCCGCTGAGTCAGATACGAGCGACAATACTTTTTGGTCCTCCGAAGTTCCTTTAGTAGGACATTTGGTTATATTCGTAAGCTCCTTTTTTCTGCGCTAGAGCAGGTGGTGACGAGCGACGGTAAGTCGCAAGTAGAAGCCAGACTCTAAATTGGCATGATCCATCCTTGACACGATATGCTGGGTATGCTGAATCAGCACTACCAGAAGACGCGCGCATTTAAGCTCCACGAGTTTGTGGGGGACTTTTGTCATTCGTGAATGAAGAGACGAAAGTAGCCATTGAGCTTGAGTATATCTTTATGCTCCGCGGTCGCAGTATTTCATTGGGCTTGTAAATCGCCCTTTTGTTCTGTTTGCAAAGAAGGTGAAGACGATAAAACACTATGCTTGGTACCGAGAAGAGGGTGAATTTATCAACACCCATCACGGGGTAGTCCATCATTGAAGACACTCGGAGCCCAATGAGTGAGAAATGTAGAATATTTATCCATTTGAATTATTGGAATTCCTGTCATCCTTTGCTCGACAGATGTATAATGTGGTGACGAAATCTCTATCACGCAAATTGACCTCGGATCAGAGAGTGTGTCATGATGTTGATCAAAATATACCCCTAGATATTGTGGCGCAAGACAATGGTTCTCACCAAGGGAGCAGTGTGATGACGTAGACTACCGCTATGTCTTCTATTAAGGCTTTCTGTATCATTGAGCATGCATTCAGTGCGCTAAAGAGCTAAGTTGTTCAACTCAGCTCGCCGATATCATGACGCACTTGAGTGTGTAATGGAAGAGCTGCTGTATTGTTTGCTGTTCAACTAATTATACATGTTGTGTCCGCGGTGTATGGGACTACGTTGCGACCATGTTACATCGGACCGTTTACGGTCGTCGCGAAACTGCAGCGTAATATATTGTGGTGATGAAGACAGTGACTTGTTTGGAAGTTTCACCTCTTCGATCGATACACGACGCAGACTGGGATCCACGGGGCGAAAGAAAAAACGATTCGATTTTTAAATGTA